GTGTCATGTGACTCATTAGTGTTACAAGGTCTCAGGTGTGAATGGGGAGCAGGACTGGTCATACTGGTCACTGGAAGTTCAACATGGCACCTCATGGCAAAGAACTCTCTGAGGATCTGAAAAAAAGAATTGTTGCTCTACATAAAGACGTGGTGTAGGCTATAAGAAGATTGCCAAGACCCTGACACTGAGCTGCAGCACGGTGGCCAAGACCATACAGTGGTTTAACAGGACAGGTTCCACTCAGAACAGGCTTCGCCATGGTCGACCAAAGAAGTTGAGTGCACGTGGTCAGTGTCATATTCAGAGGTTGTGTTTGGGAAATAGACGCATGAGTGCTGCCAGCATTGCTGCAGAGGTTAAAGGGGTGGGGGTCAGCCTGTCAGTGCTCAGACCATACGCCGCCCACTGCATCAAATTGGTCTGCATGGTTGTCGTCCCAGAAGGAAGCCTCTTCTAAAGATGATGCACAAGAAAGCCCGCAAACAGTTTGCTGAAGACAAGCTGACTAAGGACATGGATTACTGGAACCATGTCCTGTGGTCTGATGAGACCAATATAAACTTATTTGGTTCAGATGGTGTCAAGCGTGTGTGGCGGCAACCTGGTGAGGAGTACAAAGACAAGTGTGTCTTGCCTACAGTCAAGCATGGTGGTGGGAGTGTCATGGTCTGGGGCTGCATGAGTGCTGCCGGCACTGGGGAACTGCAGTTCATTGAGGGAACCATGAATGCCAACATGTACTGTGACATACTGAAGCAGAGTATGATCCCCTCCCTTCGGAGACTGGGCCGCAGGGCAGTATTCCAACATGATAACGACCCCAAACACACCTCCAAGACGACCACTGCCTTGCTAAAGAAGCTGAGGGTAAAGGTGACGGATTGGCCAAGCATGTCTCCAGACCTAAACCCTATTGAGCATCTCAAGGTCTCTAACATCCACCAGCTCCGTGATGTCGTCATGGAGGAGTGGAAGAGGACTCCAGTGGCAACCTGTGAAGCTCTGGTGAACTCCATGCCCAAGAGGGTTAAGGCAGTGCTGGAAAATAACGGTGGCCACCCAAAATATTGACACTTTGGGCCCAATTTAGACATTTTCACTTAACGGTGTACCCACTTTTGTGGCCAGCGGTTTAGACATTAATGGCTGTCTGTTGAGTTATTTTGAGGGGACAGCAAATTTACACTGTTATACAAGCTGTACACTCACTTTACATTGTAGCAAAGTGTCATTTCTTCAGTGTTGTCACTTGAAATTATATAATAAAATATTTACAAAAATGTGAGGGGTGTACTCACTTCTGTGAGATAGTGTGTGTATGTATATATATAAGAGGGACTTTGCTGTGGTCAGTCTCAGATTTTTGATAGCCATTGCTAATGATATAGTAGTGTTGTCTTTCCACTAAAAATGATCACTTCCTGGATGATGATTTTATTGAGGACTTTATTTTTTCATTAAACAAAAATTACAAAACTAACAGCATAGTGATTGAAAGCGTTCGGCATTAACCGCCAGATGTCACTGAAACCCTAATGTTCTCTGACAGAGGTATGTAGCAGTGATGAGATGTCCGAGTCAATTCCGCGAATCGGTTCTTTCCAACGGTTCGTTCTGACCGGTTCAAAATTCCAATGATTCTTTCACGTCACATCGTAGTTTGTGACATATATCGGCGATTCGGCGTGTCATAGAATATGCTCTAAAACGTTCAAGTAAAGGCATATATAGGGACTTATGTATCTTATGTGTATTTTGGTTTTCAGTCAAATGGCCCAGTCGGAGCCGCTCTGACCGATTCAATCGTGAATGAATTGTTCAAACTGAACAACTGGGTTCAGGAATCGGACATCGCTATAGAACATTTCGCGAACGGTGCTTTATTTTGCACGAGATGACTGTTAGAGTAGAGTCGAATTTAGAGTAGAATTGTCTAGAACAGAATTGCATATCAAACCAGCAGTTTTTGTTGGGTAAGTTTGTTTTTCTTATAAACACTACAGTGCTTAAGCATAGAGTTGTGCGAGCAGGTTTTAGACTCTGCATTTGTCGATATCTTGCTGCTTTATACAAAATATCTGCGATCGACTCGTATTATTTTCACAACACTGTGGTCAATGCATCATCATCGTGCATATCTGTACATGTTCTCGTGGGAAGATTACATGAATGATTTTGTGGTTGGTTACACAATACTGCGACCGGCTGTGTGAAAGATTCAGATGAACCTCATTGGAGAGGGAAAATGCATACAGACTGGTAATGTAAATATAAAATGCAGAATTGTTTAAAAATGTTCTTTTTGGGAAAGTCTGGACCAGTAGCTGATGATGACTTCAGCTTTTGTGTCTTCTCAATCGTTCATATTTTGATTTAATGCACAAAATAGAGTTGAGGCAAATAATGCAAAACAACACAAGACGTTTTATAGCATTTTCTGCATATGCCTATATGATTTTTTTGTCCTTTGAAAAGGTACTGCACAGGCTAAGTGGTTAAAGTATAATATAAAGAAATGTAGGATCTTCCAACACTTACTTATGCTGACTATGATATTTCACATTCGCTTGACTTTTACAGGAGGGACGTTTCTCATCATGGCTGAGCATTTATCCCAGAGTGAACTGGACTATCCTTTTAAGCTTTTGGAATATTTCAATGGATTCAGGATCTCCAAGGTGTGTGTTTTATGAGAGACTCGCACTGAATTCCTTAACGTTTCTATAATAGAGTGTTTATCAAAATGAGTGCATGAATATCAATCAGTCAATTGATATAAATCAGTACTTCTGTGATACTTCCTTTGTGATGTGGAATCGCCTGAGGCATCTTTAGCAGACCGTTTTAATAATGTGTTTACCACACGTGACATTTATTGTTGGATTATGAGTAAATGTTTTATGTGAGAACATCTATTATTTGTGGCATGTCCCCCGTTGTGTCTTTTTTGCCTCTGGCAGGACAGGCCTATAACTTATTAAAAGCCACTGAGGCAAACACTGAGATGACTCAGGAGTTTTGTTATCCCAGAAAACCCAGAAAGGATTCTGCATGAACTGAATTAGATAATAGAATAGAATAGAATTCACAAGAATAATTGTACAATTATTATGCACAGAGTTTTGCACTGTCAATTTACTATAAACCACAGGAGGCAAAAAAGTAATTAAAATTGTGAATAAATTATAAAACAAAAGTCATATCATCTAAAATATTACATTCCTTTGTACCTTTATATCTTTCAGTATACTTGAACATTAATATGAATTTTAACCTAAAATCATGTTCATGGGCTGATGTAATGAAATATTAGCGTTTACTTAGGGTTTCTCCTGGAGAAATATATTGAATGTAGTTTTAGTCCAAATAAAATCACACTGCAAAAATCCTGTTCAGTCACAGATATCAGATATTTGTCTTGATTTCCAGATTTAAAGAAACAAAGATACTTTTATTCAGCAAGGATGCATTAAATTGGTCAAATGCGACAGTAAAGAAATTTATGATGTTATAAAAGATTTCTATTTAAAATAAATACTGTTCTTTTTAACTTTCTATTCGTCAAAGAATCCTAAAACAATGTATGACCATTTCCTCAAAAATATTAAGCAGTGTTAAATATTATATATTAAGCAGTTTTCAACATTGATAATAAGAAATGTTTATTGAGCACCAAATTAGCATATTAGAATGATTTCTGAAGGAAACTTTTGGCCTCCCATCTGAAGAGATCTTCTCTGCCATATACAGGTTTGTGTGATCAGTTTTATATAATATTAGCAGTACCGACTGGGTGAATGTTATTGTTGTCCCTAAACGTCACTAGATTAAAAGGCCTTTCTTTGACTCCAGTGATGCAGTCTTAAGTGCTTAGCTTCTGGTGCAGTGTAATTCTAGGTCACTGACTTTAAACCAATACAAATTTGAGGCTTTATGACAGGCTGTTCCCACGTCTGGAGGGGTGGTGTGTGTGTGAGCCGACTATTATGTGTGTATGTGAAAGAATGACTTGTGTTATTGTATGTATGTTTTGGAATCGTTGGGGTTTTTGTGATGGTGTGAGAGTGTGTGTGTGTGTACAGGTGTGTGTACACAGACTCATGGGGACTCGTGTCACGGTGGGGACCTAAATTGAGGTCCCCATGGGTACAAAAGCTTATAAATCATACAGAATAAGTTTTTTTGAGAAAGTAAAAATGCAGAAAGTTTCCTGTGAGGGGTAGGTTTAGGTGTAGGGTTGGTGTAGGGCAATAGAATATACGGTCTGTACAGTATAAAAACCATTACGCCTATGGAGAGTCCCCACAAGGATAGCTGACCAGACGTGTGTGTGTGTGTGTGTGTGTGTGTGTGTGTGTGTGTGTACACGCTCTAGTAATTTGGGTGCATGGGATTATGTGGAGATGTGTATTCCGTTTTTATCATTTTTATTTTGTATTAATTTTACCCATAATTCTATTACATTTAATTTTATACCCATAATGTTTTTACTTTTTAAGATTGTGCTTCTGTTTAAAGTTAATTCATATGTTATCAGAGAAGTAGTATGTGTCCGTATTATGTTTTTTTACCCTAACTTTCATCTGAATCCATGTGGAAAAGATCAATATTATAATAATTATTATTATAATAATTTTTTTTTTTTTTTTTTCCAAAAATCTGTGCTGATGTCATTTATAATACATTTATACCAGTGGGTTTCTCCTGGAGAAATGTAGTGTATGTAGTATTAGTCCAAAAATTCTACTCAGTCACAGATATCAGTTATCAAAATCTTTGTACTGTTTTTGTCTTTGATTTTGTCTTTGTTCTCTGCAAAGTTATGAAGCTGAAAGTTCATTGCAAACGGAGATATCGTCTTTTAAAATTCTGGCAGTTTAATGCCTACAAAAATGGCTCGTAGGGACTACAACAAGTTACTTCCCGGGTTTGTGACATCACAAACCCAGATAAACCCCGCCCTTGGGAAAAGGCAGCAAAGGGGACGAGGCCATGCTGCGCTGCTTTAGAGAAGAGGAAGAGAAAATTAGAGATGCACGTAAAAATCTATTCATATATGAATAACGATTCTGTCTTCTAAAGATTCTAATGGATTCACAAGTTTCAAACTCAATGTTCTAAAGCAGCGGTTCTTAATACTGTTCCTCGCGTCCCCTTGCTCTGCACACACTCTGCATCTCTCTCTCTCTCTCTCTCTCTCAGATCATCAGCTAAGCTCTGTTCCAATTATACACTTATTTTCACATAGCTATGAGAAGCGTTAAACATGGACACGTGTGCAGTTGCCGTACTGTATTAAAGCTTTAATCAGGATAAAACCGTATATTAAAAGCTAACATAAGCAGTAGCATTTACAAATAACAGCATATCTAAAAGTATGAGACAACAACAAACAAAAAACATAGGCCTAGCATTAAAAGCCGTGCTTGCACAGGTTCTGCACGATCCTCTTCAATAATAGCCTCTCAATTGAGCTCAAACTGATAAGCGATATTAACGACACCGCTGAGGTGAAGAGCGGGATGTTCAGACGTGCACTGTGGTTTAGCCAATCACAACACACTGGGCTAGCTAACCAATTAGAGCCCATCGCCTATTTCTGAGGGCGAGGCTTCATAAAAGCAGGAAATGATCAGCGCGTTTCTCAGAGAAGGGACAGAGCGGTGTGGAATAAAGGTAAATTATGTGAAAAATATAAATTTATAATTAAAAAAAAAAAAAAATAAGCATTAACACATGTTAGACTGCATCCCATAAACACAATCAAGCCTAGAAAAAAACCAGTGAACCACCCCTTTAAATGGATCAAAAGTGACAAAAAAAAAATAAAAAAAAGCATTAACACGTGTTAGACTGCATCCCATAAACACAATCAAGCCTAGAAAAAAACCAGTGAACCACCCCTTTAAATGGATCAAAAGTGACCATACACCATTCAAACTCAACTCCATCTGCTGACACCGATGCCAATGTTTTGTTTCAGGTCAGAAGAGGAGATGCTGAAGTTCATGGGTCTGATGAACTCTACATGGGTCATTGACGGTCATGACATAGTGACAGCATTTGATCTTTCTAGCTTCAAGACCGTCATAGATCTGGGAGGTGAGTATAAATGTTGTTTTGACTGTTTGCTTATTAATGACAGTTATTTGAGCTAAAAAATAAAAAGCTCACAATTGTAGAAAAAAATATTTTTTATAAATTATACAAGAAGCAGTAGATTTGCAAGTCATGTTATTTTGAGATGCTTTGCAGGCTGCTCTGGTGCATTAGCGCGAGAGCTGGCTAAAGAGTATCCTTCCTCCACTGTCACGGTTCTGGATCTCCCGGCTGTGGTCCAGACTGCTCAGCGGCATTTCGCCCAGCAAGATGACACCATCTGTTTTCAAGAGGGTGCGTAATGACGCATTGTAACATTGTTAATGGTTCACATTTGACAGATCCTCTGTCCTTCTGAACTTGTCAAAAACAACAATCAATCTAATGGCTGCCCAGACCACAGTACATTTTAAGCGCGTTGTGTTAATATATAGTTAATGAAAACTGAAATAGAAACTTAATAAAAAACATTTTTCTTAACTAAAATATAAATAGAAACTACAATAACTGGGAAAAACTAAAATATTCAGAAATGGCCTCAGATTAATGTTTTAGTTTTTTATATAATATATCATAAAACCATCTGCATTAAACATGGACACATTAAACACTTGATGGCAATAACACTGTCCTCATAAATTCAATGCTGTTGTTAAATTATACCAGTTAGCACATTAACTAAGAAAATAAAAAAAATCTAGAAAACACTAAAAAAAAAAAAAAAATACTACATAACATTCAAATGTTTACGGACAGTAAGTTTTTATTAGTTGTTTTTCAAAAGAAAATTGTATTCAGCAAGTATGCATTAATTTGATTAAAAGTGACATTGTTACAATAGATTTTTATGTTTAACATTTATACTCGTTTACAACTTATTCATATCTTAACTCACACAGGATCATGTGAAACTAAAGACTGGAGTAATGGCTACTAAAAATTCAGCTTTGCCATTACAGGAATAAATTACATTTTAAAATATAAATTTTATTTTAAATTGTTATAATATTTCAAAATATCACTGTTTTACTATATTTTTTTGAACAAATAAATGCAGCCTTGGTGAGCATAAGAGTCTTTAAAAAAAAAAAATCTTAACAACCCCAAACTTTTCAACGGCTGTGTTGATGATGTGAAAACTAAACTAAATAAGATAAAAACAAAATTAAAAATTCATAACTTTAGTATGAATATATAAAACAATTAGGTATATGTTGTTTTGTATTTGTAGGGGATTTTTTTGAAGGAGAAATCCCTCCTGCAGATTTATACATTCTGGCCCGGATCATTCATGACTGGAAGGAGGACAAAAATCTCAAACTACTGAAGAAGATTCATACAGCATGTCATCCAGGTGAGAAAAGAGGTCTACCTGGTCAGTAATATTAATAAGTGGCCATAAAATGATAGTTTTCAAAGCATTAACCATCTCTGTCTAGGTGGAGGCGTTCTGATCGCAGAGGCACTTTTATTTGAGAACCGCCGGGGTCCAACTATGGTTCAGATGTTTTCTCTGAACATGCTGGTTCAGACAGAAGGGAAGGAGCATCCACCCTCTCATTATACACGTCTGCTCACTGACGCAGGATTCAGAGACGTGCAAGTCTGTCGGACCGGAAAATCATACGATGCTATTTTGGCTCTCAAATGAAAAGTGTATTGTAAGCGTCGTCAGTAATCAGACCCTTTCTGCCTTATCTACAGACACGTCAGTGATCATGTTCATGCACATGTCAGGCATCTGTTGTTCCACCTTGGCTTGTTTTGTAAAGTTTTTTTCCAGCACAGAGTGATCCTTATGATTCCTTCAAAAGACAGTTTGAGTACCAATTAGGTTTAGTTATTTGTGAACTTGACTCCTGAGGCCTACCAGATGTAGTCTGAGAAGGGGTGGGATGAGGAGCTGTTTTGGATTGGCCAGTGATGTCAAAATAAGCTCCTCCCTCTATCCCGTCTTGTGTATCTATGCAGTATGCACTGTGGTGTTGACACATGGTTAAGTGTGACCCCTAGTGGTAAAATAAAATAAAAACAGCATTAGTTGATTTTTAACTAAAGATAGTCTAGTCTATCTAAATATCAATTCCTGGCCTCGTTCGATTTCATTTTAACAACATGATTTTAGTCCTAATACAATTAATTTACCATCCTTTGACTGAAAAAAAGAATGCATTTTGGAATTTTTTTTTTTAATGTATTGTGTATTTTTTTTCTAGTGAAAACCTTGCACCACCCTTGACTTTGTGCCTCACATTTATACTTGTCCACCGAGAAAAAAAAATCTAATAAAAGGAAACAATGACCCAAGTATTTTGTTTTGATCCCATGTGATTTGCAGCTTTTGTATTATGTACCTTTCCCAAAAGGTTCAGTTACTCTCGCAACTGGACTGATGTTTAAAATATTAAATATGTGACCCATGAGTAGCACGGGAATATTTGTAGCAATAGCCAGCAATACATTTGTATGGGGTAAAAATGATCAAATTTTCTTTTATGCCAAAAATCATTCAGATATTAAGTAAAGATCATGTTTCATATGTTGTACATTTCCTACCGTAAATATATCAAAACGTAATTTCTGATTAGTAATATGCATTGGTAAGAACTGCGCTTAAATGCGATTTTCTCAACAACAACAAAAAATGTTGTGCCCCTCAGATTCCAGATTTTCAAATAGTTGTATCTCGACCAAATATTGTCCTATCCTAACAAACCCTACATCAATGGAAGCCTTAATTATTCAGCTTTCAGATGATGTATAAATCTCAATGAAAAAAAATGGACTCTTATGACTGGTTTTGTGGTCCAGGGTCACATATTTGAACTTACTTTTGACTAGTAGTGATGACATAACAATAAATCTTTCTATATTTACAGAGGTTTCCTATTGATTCATAATATTAAATGAGTAGGTTTAAACCTGAAATTTCCCAAAAATCCCTGTCATCATCTCCAAAACAGATGTGGATATTATGAAACAGCTGAAATGGAAGTCATGATGCTAGTGCTCTGTTTGTGCGTGAGCACTAGCTCCCCCTGCAGGCGGACGCGGAATACAGCAGCGCATACGTAACCTGCATGTGTGTGTGTTTGTGTGTGTGTGTGTGTTTGGGGTGGAGGAGAAGAGACGAGAGGACTCAAACTCTGAGCAAGCGCCACATAGAAACGCCAGCGCAGGATCAGCAAGACCTTTTAATGTAGGTATACTACATTTTCTTGCTGTAGCATACATGTTTAACAGGCAGGGACGAGCAAGTGTTTTCCAGGATTTCCGCGAGCTCTTCATGCAGTGATCCGGTGCAAATGTAGCACGTCATTAAAATGGCGCCAAAATATTAAGTTGAGCAGCAGCAGACGCTGCCCTAATTAATGTTTGTTCGCATTTGGCCTCTGTAGTAATTTCTATAAGCTCCTGGTGTGGTTTGTTTTGAAATTTGGTAGTTACTTTCAATCGCGTCGCTGCTGGCCGTGAGCGGCTGATCTTGTTTAACCTAAAAGTTTTAGTGTTGAATCAGCAAATGGCATCAAACGCATGCCCATGTTTTGCAGCTTTAGTGTGTGTATATATATATATGAATTTCGGTTATGTTTCAGAGGGGTGTTAGAAAATGTTCCCCGTGCCACGGTCTGGGGTGGTCCGGATTCAGCTCTGCCATGATGTTGGGAAAATAACGGTGGGAAATATTAAACTTTTCTTTGCGTTTGCGTTAGAAGTTAAATCTGCTAAATGTATGTATATGTGCGATAAAATTAGTTATCTGATCGACGAATGTAACAACATGTATGTTCTTGGTACTATAAGTTGTTGTTTAAATATACGATAGTGCAGCGGAGGTTTTGTATTAAAACACCGTGAAATTAATTTGGATTCAGTGGGAAAAATAATGCTAATAATTTTGTTTTCAATTTCGAACTGGCATTGAAATGGACGGCTATGTGACGTCAAGGGGCGTGGTCTTTCAGTAGCGTCACACACATGGAGCAGTTGCACTGCGTGAGCTGCTGTTTACAGGGAGTGCTGGACGTTGTGTTTGGGCAGAATTATTGGTTTGTTTTTATTGTAATGCAGTTGAAATTAGCAGATGTGAGAGTTGTGTCTTTAAATGTATCTTTACCTTATGATTTAATATTTACAACGATCTATTGACAGAAATGCAATATAATATACATAACTATGTTTTCAGAAGTTTATAAAGACCTTACTTAATAATGTTTTTATTACCTTAGATTGAGCAATTTCTGTCTACATACACCGCGGGTCCCCTTACATGGAAGTCGCCATCATGATTCTACAGTAGCCCTAAACGGACAAACTGCTCTACAGAGTGCGTTTCATCACTGTGTTGTTCTTGCCAATAAAACACTGACACAATGATGAACAAGTACATTAAAGGGGTCATATGATGTTGCTGAAAAGAACATTATTTTGTGTAGTTGGTGTAATGAAATGTGTTTATGTGGTTTAAGGTTAAAAAAACACATTTTCCACATACTGTCCATTATTGTTTCTCCTCTATGCCCTGCCTTTCTGAAACGGGTCGATTTTTAAAAAGTGAAAAAAGTGAAGTGACATGTGGTGACCCATACTCAGAATTAGTGCTCTGCATTTACCCATCCAAAGTGCACACACACAAACCGTGAACACACACCCGGAGCAGTGGGCAGCCATTTATGCTGCGGCGCCCGGGGAGCAGTTGGGGGTTCGGTGCCTTGCTCAAGGGCACCTCAGTCATGGTATTGAAGGTGGGAGAGAGTGCTGTACATTCACTCCCCCCCCCTACAATCCCTGCCGGTACAAGACTCGAACCCGCAACCTTTGGGTTATGAGTCCGACTCTCTAACCATTAGGCCACGACTTCCCCCCCTTACAACGCTCATCGGTCTGAAAAGCATGGTGTGCTGTGATTGGCTAGCTATCCAGTCCGTTATGATTGGCCGAATACCTCAAGCGTGTGACAGAAATGTTACGCCCCTACCATACTGTGATGCTGTGTCCCGGCCGGAGCGACGAGACAAATAGATTAAAGGGGTCATATGATGCGATTTCAAGTTTTCCTTTCTCTTTGGAGTGTTAAAAGCTGATTGTGCATAGATAAGATCCCTGAAGTTGCAAAGACTAAAGTCTCAAAACCAAAGAGATATTCTTTATCAAAGTTAAGACTCTGCCACGCCCCCCTAAAATGGCTCGTTCTAACATGCCCCCACATGTCTACGTCACTATGTGGAAATATTAGCATAATGCCGCCCAAATGTTCACGCAAAGAAAGAAGGCGTGGTTTCAGGAACAGCCGTTAGTGTTGAAGCAGCCATGTCAGGGAGACGCTGTGTGTTTCTAGGCGAAAGCAAAAGCACTTTATTTGGCCTTACGGCGGCCTAGAGTGAGCGGAGGCGTGCTTGAGTGTGTGGAGGCTGGTGGGCTTGAGAACAGCGCGGCCGGCGGATTCGACGAAGGAGCGTCTGGAGGGCTTGCGGAAACCATATGTGGCGACCCCGGGCTGGAATTCGCTTCGTCCACAGTGAAAGCCGATCCGGTGATCCACAGCGCAAAGTTGATGTATTTCCTCAGCGATCAGCTCTAGGCTCTAGGCAGATATCATCCTCTTTTGGAAGGCCAAACAAAGTAGTTTTGCTTTCACAACGAAACACAGCATCACGTACGGCGGCCTAGAGTGAGCGGAGGCGTGCTTGAGTGTGTGGAGGCTGGTGGGCTTGAGAACAGCGCGGCCGGCGGATTCGACGAAGGAGCGTCTGGAGGGCTTGCGGAAACCATATGTGGCGACCCCGGGCTGGAATTCGCTTCGTCCACAGTGAAAGCCGATCCGGTGATCCACAGCGCAAAGTTGATGTATTTCCTCAGCGATCAGCTCTAGGCTCTAGGCAGATATCATCCTCTTTTGGAAGGCCAAACAAAGTAGTTTCGCTTTCACAACGAATCACACAGCGCCTTCACGACATGGCGGCTGCAACAATACTACAGCGAGAATAAAAGTTACGCCTTCTTTCTTTGCGTGAACATTTGGGTGGCGTTATGCAAATCTTCCCACATAGTGATGTAGATATGTGGGGACGTGTTAGAACGAGCCGTTTTAGATAGATGTGGCTGACTCTTAACTTTTATAAAGAATATCTCTTTGGATTTGAGACTTTAGTCTTTGCAACTTTACAGATCTTCTTTCTCCACCAAGAGCTTGTAACACTCCAAAGAGAAAGGAAAAATTGAAATCGCATCATATGACCACTTTAACATTCGCAATATCATCGATTTATTGAATGATTAAGTAAATATAATTCCTTAATTTACCTTTGTAAAGAAATCTCATTGCTGTCTTTACCGACAACATCTTTACCTGTGTAGGCCACCGTAGCTTCTCTAAAGGGAGGGAGGGGTGAGCAGGGGACTGAGCCGTTGGCTGCAATTCGCAACCTCACCGCTAGATGCCGCTAAAATTTACACACTACACCTTTAAGTTTGGCAGATCAAACCATTTATATACATATATATTAATGGGTTTGCTTTGCTTAATTAGTTGCATAAATGCTAATAAAAACACGATTTAAGAAATACAAACTCATGTGGTTTGTATTTCTGTTGTTCCTTAATGAAAAATAGTTCAGCTTTACCCATGTTAAATATTCGATATGTGATCAAAAATGTTTAATAAAGCTTAAAACTGGAAAGTGCATTATACAAGGATTGTTTATTCATAAGTTTATGACTTTTCAGGCATGTGTGCATTGCTCAGAAATTTGACAGTTTGCTATTATGCAACACGATGGATTGAGATTGAATAGTTTAAAAATCTAATTTTAATTGAATTGAATTTAATATTAATGGTATTTACACATTAATACTACATATATTTAGTATCTAGAGCAAAATAACCTAGTTTGTATGTTTCACAAACATTTCAGTCTACCATTGGTCGATTCAACAGATAGTCTCGCCCTCAAACCCACGGCATTGGTTGCACCGATGTTACGTTATGGTGCTCAACCAAACAGCATTGGTTGGCTAGCTCCACTTTTTGGAGGAAATAGCGTACAAAATTACTTATAAATTGATTCTGCATATTAAGCTCAAATAGAATTATATAAAGTTTAATATAAAGTATCTTAACATAGCCTTCAAGTTTAATTAGGCTTGTAAAGTCTCAGAATCTGTCAAGATTTCTGCTGGCTCTCTCAGCACTCTCAGCAGTCATCTCTGCAGGATCAGTTTTCAGGAATGTTCTGCTAATGTTTGATCAACCTCTGCAGATTTCTGCA